ATAAACGAGTAAGTGCATTACAACCCCAGAGGCTAAGTCAGTGGGAAAAGAGGGAAATGAATGGTTATGAGCATAAAGACAGGGACAAATAAAAGAAGTCTGGAGCACAGAGAACAATTTACAAATCAGCAGTCATTTTAAAGGACACAGAAATTATGGTTTTAAATATCATTCCATAAGCAAAGAGAATATTAAAATCATTTTTTGTAAAATTCCCTGAAAAATGTTTTGTAATAACTTTTTTATTTTTTACCCTTCTCATCACCACCATCCTCATTACCTCATAAGAGCCATATGTGGTAACTATCCGGGCTTGTTAATCTCTATCTCCTGCCAGGAAATATACTGAATTGAAAGAATTAGGTACTACAAAAAGAAACATATTTTATATTAAGCAGTTACATTTTGAAGTAAATGGGTAACTTGATGGTATTTCTATAGCATATATATATATGGCATATATATGTGTCTGGCATATATATATGGCACTCATATATACCATACATATATATATGTCATATATACATATATATATGGCACTCATATAAAAAACACACATAGCCACATATGGGTTAGTAGTAGTATTTGTTGAACACAATTTTTGGTTTTCACACAAATCCACCTTTTCAAAACCAATTGTTCCTTCTCCCAGCATACTCCAGGCTGGCAAATGACAAATGAAAATAAAATCCCTGCTGGAAATAGTGGTATAAAAAGCATTTTTCATTTTATGTGCACTTTGCAACCCGGAGAAAATAAGAAATTTGTTTTAGTTTTGTGTAGTAGTTTCTAAAATATAATCAGAGAGATGCTAGTAAACATTTAACTTTAGATGAGCTTTCTCAAAACTTTTAAGCGCTGGAATGAAAGATTTGCTTACACTCTGAAGCTGGTGCTGGGTATCTTTTTTAAGCCTCCCTTGGCATCTCATTTTCACGCACCATCTGAGATGACTTGGAAAACACCAGAAAATAACAACACTACTTCCACAAAACAACTGCCTGGACAGTGCCTATTTCTACAGCCATCATTTATAGGACTCTTTTTCTGGGGAGAAATTTTATTTTAAGTGTCAATACTAAAAGATGATATATTTGGAGTTGGCTGCTTCAATCAGTAAATGTAGTCAGTACCGACTCAGAAACAGCTTATTTTTAATAATTGGAAGAAGAAATAGTTCTAGCTGTTAGTTTTAAATGGCTACAAAGGGAAGAAATTATTTTTGTGGAATTATTAGCTTGCCGTATGTGTAGTTTAAAATGGTTGTGTAAAAATGGCATCATGTGATTTTTTTTTATAGTGAACATGACCCAAAAATGTGGAAAGACCGAGTTCTTTTTCTCTGTAACCCTCCTTCCTTCTTTGTGCAAATGAGACTAAGAACTTCCTTCACATTGTAAGCGAAACCTGAATCCCATTGCTGACATATTTGAGAAAGCAGTTTCATTGATAGAGATCAATTTCTGGACTAAAAATTCAGTATTTTCTAAGATTCATAAAAATTATTATAGCTTTAGTCTTGACAGTTGCCTTTTTATTTTAAGGAAATAAACCCCAGAAAGCACATAAACACATGCATCTACATACATACATACACGCACATTCACCACACAGTTTATGAAGGAATATAGAGTGCCCATTGGATCACTCAACTTCGCTGAATGAATATGCAGACATTTAAAAAAATAATTTTGAAAAATTTTAAATGATACTGAAAAATAATTATGGCATTTTGTTTTTTAAAATCTTGACTCATTTATACAGTGTGTGTATACATAGATACAAGCAGAGAAATATGTATCAATATAAATGTACAGTAAATATGTATTTATATATATTTACCCTTTCAGTTATATATTTACATAACCGAAACATATAAAAATAACAAAGTAAGGCAGGGAACAGTGGCTCATGCCGATAACCCCAGCACTTTGCGAGGCAGAGGCGGCTGGATCACTTGAGGTCAGGAGTTTGAGACCAGCTGACCAACATGGTGAAACCCTGTCTCTACCAAAACTACAAAAATTAGCCTGGCTTGGTGGCATGTGACTTGTAGTTCCAGCTACTCTGGAGGCTGAGGCAGGAGAATCGCTTGAACCCAGGAGGTGGAGGTTGCAGTGAGCCAAGATCATGCCACTGCTCTCCAGCCTGGGCAAGGAGAGCGATACTCCGACTCAAAAAAAAAAAAAAAAAAAGAAGTTATGTCTAGGTAAGATGATGACGGAAATTTTCGTCTTACTTTACTTTATACCTTTCACTATTGAAATTATTTTATAGTTGAAGTAAAGGAAATTTTGTAATATCAAATATGAGCCAATGTCATTTATTTAATATCAAAATTAATATTGGAAAAATGTCTATACTTTAGGCTACCACCCATCTGCCTGAATTAATCAGCATGAATACTTAATTTTAAATATTACCTGTCAACGCAGATCACTGAATGTGATCTCCTTTAAGGTATTATCATGTCATAAACTGCTATAAAAAGTCTAATTCTCTCAAGAGTTTTATGGTTATCCACTTCATTTTCAGGTCAACATTTTAATATATTTTCCCATATTTTTTTTTTTCTGAATCTTGAATCTCTGCAAAGCTAACCTTCGAATTAGAAGGAAAAGGTAGAAGAGTGAGGAGTAGCAGCAATTCACTTGAATTTGGATCTTGGATATAACTAAAAACACATTTTGCTTTTTTATTTTTATGTCAGTTTGCGAAGGAAACAGTTATGGTTTTAGCTAAATGAAGACATTTTTGTTTTGTTGTTCTTTTTTCTTTTTATAATTCTACTTGTATCACATTTCAAAACCTACTTTGAATTTTCACTCAGTTCCCACAATATTACCATATATTCTTTGAGCCGTTGGCAAAATGGATCCATTTTGTAAAGTCATGCTTTTTGCACTGAGCTTTTGCCAGTCTCATATATTTAGAGAAATCTGAAAGCAAAAGCAATACCCAATGTGTTGAATATCTTTAATAGCATGGTTGAAATTTATGATTTGAAAATCATAAGTTGAAAGAACATTTATCTACGGCTTGATTTTACGCTTGACACTGCCTATGCTTCACAGCAGTTTTTTTTTTTTTTTAAATAGGAGGACAAAAATACTTCCTTCTATCATTCATAGCAATTTTCTTTATACTTAAGTAAAATATACAGAAACTTTTAAAGGAACATCAAAATCTTGTTCCCTCTTATTGTTGCCATATTATTTTTATTATATTACCCAACCAGGTTGTTACAGTTATGCTTATACTCTTATACAAATACACTTTTAGAAGAAATATTGAAGGAAATGCAACTTCACAAAATGAATAATTTTACCTTAATAACATTAATATGAACAATGATGTTATTTTATTCAACTTAAACCACGCTCTTGAGTTTAAGAGCAAAGATGTAGCCACGGTTGAACTTATATTTATTTGGGCTATATTTGTGCTTTTAATTACTCATACTAATACATAAGAAGCTTATTTGCAACAGGATATTTATATAATTTTAAATATTTTCGGAGTTTATGTGTGTGTGTTGAAATGTTAAGAAAACAGAACTCATTCTTAAGCAATGATTTGCAAAACAGCAGTGCTCATATGCAGATTTTTAAGGCATAGCCCAAATGGTTAGAGACACTGCAAAAGTTTATTTTTCTTTTGGGTGATCTGTTGACTGGAAAGAGCTTTTACATATAAAAATGTGGATGCTGAAATCAAATGGCTATACCCAAATGAGCAAGAATAGTTTAAAACATTTAAATCAGTGTCTGCATAAAAATTAATGTACATATTATTTATAAGAATATGTTATGTATATATGTATATATATTTATATTATGTATAAGAATATATTTATAGAAATATAAACTACTAGAAAATTATATATGATGCAATATTTTATGTTAGGTAATATTTTATGTACATATTTATTTACAGGTAGTTTATATACCTTTAAGTCTGTGTCCATTTTTCATTTATTCTTGGTCTCCAGTTTGAACAACACTGCCTTATGGTATTACACTGATAATTTTCTCTACTCTTCAGTTCTCTTCCTTATTGCTTATTCATGTGTATCTTATTCCATGCTATAACGTAAGGTACTATACATGTGTTGAATTTTAAAAGAAACTAGCAGAATTTCAATGCTTTCTTATATTACTCAACATAAATATTCTATATATAGAATGAATTAGAGCAAGCTATTTGTGAATCTGAAAGGTTAATCAGTGATTCTATCAATTATCTGGTTAATAGTGGTAAACTCATTCAAACTCAGTCTGTTAAAAATGAGATGCTCTGCCCTTTATCACTGAAAACCTCTTGGTTTGCCAGATTTTTCCCTTCTTTACAAATGAAAATGCTTAGTGTTTTCTGAGTTCCTTTGCACTGTCTCCCACTGGATTCAGGTCATTGATTTTATCTTCAGAACACTTGGAAAGTTTATTTTGTGGTGTTTATGAGCTAATTTATTTTTATCGCAATGTTTATTTAAAATGAAACAATAAGTACACTGAAGTTTTGTGCATTTCATTTTATGAAAATGTTATCCCAAAGGGATACAGAAGAACTAAATACAAATTTTCAAAATTTGTTGGTTTTTTGCCTGTTGCTGTATCTGAGGTTGTACTTTTGTTCTGATCTTCATAATACCTCAAAAAAAAAAAAAAAAAAAGATGGATTAAGAGAAGGATGAATGGAAGAATGGATATGAGATCTATCTAATAAGGCAAGTAGATTAATAGACGAATGGAGGAATGTTTGGACGTATAGGTATATATGTGTTCATTGCACAGTTTCAACTTTATGTGTTAACATTTTTATAATAAGAAGTTGGAGAAATAAAAAACAAGAAAACAGAACCGTAGGATTTTTTTTAACGTTTTTGATTAAAGGAATTATATTGCAAATTATGAATATTTAATTTGGCAACATCGTTTTAATGGTGTTCTTTCTTTGTTCTTCTCTTTCTCTTCCTCTCTCTCTCCCTCTCTTCCCTAAAGCTCCATTCCGACTTAGACAAGGGAGAGGGCACTGTTAAATACACCCTCTCAGGAGATGGCGCTGGCACCGTTTTCACCATCGATGAAACAACAGGGGACATTCATGCAATAAGGAGCCTAGATAGAGAAGAAAAACCTTTCTACACCCTTCGTGCTCAGGCTGTGGACATAGAAACCAGAAAGCCCCTGGAGCCTGAATCAGAATTCATCATCAAAGTGCAGGATATTAATGATAATGAGCCAAAGTTCTTGGATGGACCTTATGTTGCTACTGTTCCAGAAATGTCTCCTGTAGGTGAGTAGGCAAATCAAAATTCTGTGAGATACAACGAGACCTCTTCAACATTTAGTTTCTGCAGGTTGATGTAAACATCTTATCTGTCATCTAAAAGAGTATTTTTCAATGCTAGAAAATACAATTCTTTTCATTTATTTTTGTAACGTTTTTGTTTGTTTGTTTGTTTGTTTGTTTTGAGACGGAGCCTTGCTCTGTCGCCCAGGCTATTGTGCAGTGGCTGGATCTGCGCTCACTACAAGCTCCGCCTCCCGGGTTCGCGCCATTCTCCTGCCTCAACCTCCCGAGTAGCTGGGACTACAGGCGCCCGCAACCTCGCCCGGCTCATTTTTGTATTTTTAGTAGAGACGGGGTTTCACCATGTTAGCCAGGCTGGTCTCGACCTCCTGACCTCGTGATCCTCCCTCCTCGACCTCCCAAAATGCTGGGATTACAGACGTGAGCCACCGCACCCGACCCCTATTTTTGTAACTTCTTTGTTTTTCTTTCTGCTTCATTATGAAGATAACTACAAGAATATATAACATTCTTTACTGTTTTCCAACCTGTGAATTTACCTGATCTCATAGAATCCTTGTGTGCTTTAAGCAAAAAAAAAATGTATTTTGTATTGAAATTGATTGTTATCTCAATTCCAGACACCTATATAGTGCTGGGGTTACCTACCCTACACCACGAAATACCAGATAGTAATTCTTAGCTCAAACTAAATTATCTAAAGCATGCATCATATCTGATCTGGAAGTGGTCCAGAAACAGTTGTGTTGCATTTGTAGCCGTTAATAGAGATTCTGGAAAGGTAATACTGTTTCCTTTTCGGGTTAAATAACCCATGCCTGTTATGCCATCAAGTCAAGCAGCAAATGAATAATGTCAACAAATCATTATTAGAACAAATTAACAAATTTCAATTACAATTATCAAATTAACAGTTAGAATATAGTAGCACCATCATTCTAAAAATTTAAATTTGATATAAGTATACATTTCCATATCAGCCTAAATTTCCAAAATCCTATAATATGTAGGATATAAGGTCAATAAGTTAAGAATTCCAGCTTTAAAGACCATTTTAAGTTATAATTTTTATTCCTCGGTCACCACTGCTAATCCTTCAATTTATTTCAAAGTAACTTCTGGTTTTTATTACATTTGGAAGATAAAGCAACTTATCACATGTAGGTTACAACTTAAAATTCGTGTATGAGCCATTGCTCATATTTTCTAAAGCTGACATGCCTCAGAGGGTTTCTACTGCTCCTACAACCACCCAGGACATGCGATGAAGATTGTGCACGCTACCCTGAGGGCAGAAGCAGGTTAGTAGCTGTAGGAGCTGTCACATGGATTTACTATAAATGCACTTGAAATTGTGTATGTGACCTTATCAGGCATTTAAAGACTATAATCTCTCCTTGACCTAAGAAATCAGCTTGAAGTAATTCACTTAGATTTCAAATTTTAATGTGGATACCCAAGGCTGCAAATCTGTTATTCAGTACCTGCTACTCTTTTGGGGTTGCCTCTTTTATGCACTGTTATGATTGCTAGAAATTTAGAAGTCCAATTGGAAAGAAGCATATCTTGTTAGAAAAAAGTCCCAGAAAACGAGGGAGGCTACATTTGAACTGTGTCTTGATTTTACAGGGGGAAAATAAAGTTAATATTTTGAGGAAAAAATAAGGCTTTTAAGATGACGTGCTATATAGTAGACAAATAGTTTAACTCAGTGCCTGCTTCATGTACACTGGATGTGTTAACATGAATTTATGAGCCTCAGTGACTTTTTATTACCAAAACAGCTTCCTTAAAGCAAACACACACACATGCCTCTACAGTATTGGAAAATTCTGTCTCATTAGATAAAACAATTAGGATTTTTCTTGTGCCGACTAGAAAAACTAGGGCTGCAGAGTTGGAGCCTTCATATAAGGAATTTGCAGCTCATATCCAAAGAGAGACATATATTTGGAAAGTCAAAAGTGTAGGTAAGTGAGAAAGTAGAGTAATTTCAGCTTTTGCAGTTGGAATGGGATATAATTTACTATGTTGTCATAAGATATTGGAAAGATCTTTGGAAGAATAGATTCTTAAGGTGTTTTCTCATTTGCCCTTACTGAAATTTCCCACTGGGTCTTCAAGACAATTCCAGTAAATACTTAAATTGATTTTCAATGCACTGCTTTCTTTCATTTTTATTTATTTATTTGGAAACTGGGTCTCGGTCTGTTGCCCTGGCTGGAGTGCAATGGCCCAATCTTAACTCACTGAAGCCTTAAATTCCTGGGCTGAAGAGATCCCCCTACATCAGCCTCCTTAGTAGCCAGACGTGTGCCATCCAGCCTGGCCAATTTATTTTATTTTATTTTATTTTATTTTTTATAGAGAAGGGATCTAGCTGTGTTGCCCAGGCTGTTCTCACATAGTTCTGGCCTCAAATGATCCCTCCACCTTGGCTTCCCAGAGCACTGGGATTATAGTCATAAGCCGCCCTGCTGGCTCCTTGTTTTAAAAACAGAAGGATATTTCTTTTGAATGTGAAATATTACCACATGGTATGAGTTAGTCCAAGTGTTTTTATACTAAATTTACATAATATATACTTTTCAAGTAAGTACAAAGAGGTATAAACACTGCTTATGAATTGAATGTTAAAAATTAAATCTCTGTGCACTACTTTTGCCTTTCCCTGTAATCTCACGTATACATATAAAACAAAAAACAAGATACCCAATTACAGTTGTGGTATCTGCTGTTCCTGCCTTGAAATTTCCAGCTTACAGCTAACCAACAACTACTGTGCATCCAGAACTTACATCTATGTTCCTAGAGTACTTGAACCCCATTCTCAAGTGCATCCTTCTTACCAGGTGGAAATGGTTCACTGTTGTACTAATCTAAGAAAAGATTATGTTTTTCTCTACTTTTTTTCCTCTCATATACTCTAGGCAATTCTCCCTCTGTAACATTTTCCTGAGAATACTAAAATAATTTTTAATCAAGACCAGATGGAACTTTGTATGGTATATTGACAGTATACCAATTGTTGTGACAAATCTCACTGCCTGTTGTAGATACCAGTGTTTGAGGTGTTCCCTATGAAATAACTTTTCTGTCTCAATAATTGAGAATGCTACTGTTTTATTTCCCAAAAAAAGGGAAACATTAATCAGTTAAAAATACATACAGTGAAATAACTTATTTTGTAACATAAAAAGGAAGATGAAGAAATATTGGAACATTGAGATGAAGTTTAACAGTAATGGATTATATATCCAGAAATATGAACAATAAACCTGCAATGAAAATTTACTAATGCTACTGATTTTCACTTGTGTAAAGTGAACATTACAAAGAACATAGTGTACAAAGGGAGAATGTGGTGGGTAGGGTGGATCAAGATTTCAGAGGAAAATCAATATCTAAGACTTACAGCACTATGGAATATATTTAATTTTCCTAAAGTTGAAGAAAACTCCAGTGAATCTATGAATTGTTTAAGAGAAAGGTCACTTTGTTGTTGACTTCTGCTACATTTGATATTCCAGGGAAGTAATATTTAGAGATAAAAAGCTTTTACTCTGACCTCCAAAAGTACTTATTGATCCAGATATTCCCAAACTCAAAGTAAATCCTTGGAGACAAATTGGGACTTTATGAATGTGGACTTAATTCTTTAAGATCACTAGAGCAACAATAAATTACAGGAATGTACCCTCTTTAATATCTGATGATTATGCATAAGTGGGGTATGCAGTTTTAAGTTACTTTTCCTAGAGTGCTGACAGGTTTAGAGTGTAAAATCCATACTCAATTTGTATCATCTTCCTCTGCTTGAGCTATGCCACCTTGAGACATCTGATTTGACTATTTATAATTAGATTCCTAACCTATGATATGATATAGTAGATGTCAATAGTGACTCATGATTTATGTAGTAAGTCTTACCATTTTCTAAGCAGTAGTTGGGTGCCATGTGATCTAACTAAAAATTTGTATTTCTTATTTTATTTAACAATTACATTAACACCAATGCAGTATTATTCACTGTTGGATTTTTTTTCAATGTGAAAACTTAATAACCCCTGTGGATAAGAAAGTAAGAATGATTCTTAGGCGTTTTAGATCCAAATTAATCAGAATTTAATATACCATTTTGTTTAGGTGTCATGGCTGCTAAAACATCTTTGTGAAAGTTAAACTTAGCTTTCAATCTCAGATGATCTACTTAAGAGTTTGGAATGTTTATATTATATTATTTGAGAATGAGGAGGCTTGCTTAAAGGAAACCTGAAGGATAAGCATCTTTCATTCAATATCTTCAAAAAGAAAATTTAGCTGACGTTAAAATAAGAAAAGATACACCTAAAATAAAGTAGAACACTGGCTTCATAAAAATAGTGAACAGGTTCTCCCTAGCTTTTCTTTTTTTCTCTTAACTCTATCTTATTTTACATGAAATTTGGGGAGAAATGCTAAGATTAAATTTTTGGTGGAGTATTTCAGAGGTTATTTAACCAGAGACTATTTTCTTTTTCTTTTCTTTTTTTTTTTTGAGATGGAGTCTCGCTCTGTTGCCCAGGCTGGAGTGTAGTGGTGTGATCTTGGCTCACTGCAACCTCTACCTCCCAGGTTCGAGTGATTCTCTTGCCTCAGTCTCTTGAGTCACTGAGATTACATGTCTGCACCACCACACTCAGCCAATTTTTGTATTTTTAGAAGAGATGGGGTTTTGCCACGTTGGCCAGGCTGGTCTAGAACTCCTGACCTCAAGAGGTTTGCCTACCTCGGCCTCCCAAAGTGCTGGGATTACAGGCGTGAATCACTGCACCCAGACAGCCAGAGACCACTTGCCATGTGGCCATATTTAAATAGTCCAAGAAGGAAAAGTGAAGACTGTGTCTGTACTTTACATTAATGCACTATTATAATTTAGAAACATATGTAAGTCTCCACACTTCCTTATTTTCACAAAAATGCCATAGAGAGACAAATCAAGA